AGTCGGGCACGGTTTATCGAACGAGGCGCGCCCCTTATTCGCGTCATTCGCGATGCCTACGCATTAATAGATTCAGACAGAAGCGTGTCAGGGAATCAGCTGTTGGCACGTTCCTCGCTCGATGTAAATCATGCGTTTCGGAGTAACGCGAACCGCATAAACCGGTACGCGTTTTGTGGAAACGCAAAAATAGCGTCGGCCCGTTACGAAAGAGAACCGCGCTGGTATTTTGTATATTTTCTGGACTGATTAACGCGCGAAGAAATTCTTTCGAAAGAACGAACTCTCAGGTCATTAACCATTGATAAATAAGAGAATTTTATAGAAAGTACATTTTCGTGGCGATATCTGTACGTATACGATAATTATAGTTATTAGTAATTAGTAAAAATATTATACATATTCATTCATTTCATTCAACTTTATGTTACGCGTTAAATAATAATTTTATTAACGCACAAATAGGCTTAGTTTCAATCGATTTACACGATCACTTCTTCTTTATAAACGACAAAACAAATAAAGGGGAATATATACAACAAATGTAGCACGTCACGGTTATTAACATAACAAAAAGCAGCCGAATGTGCGAAACCGTTACACACAAACGAATTAAAATGAAAATAGATATTTAAAAATTCACGCAACAAAAGTCGGTAAAGCCATAAAAAAAAAAAAAAAAAAAAAAAAAAAAACTTGTTTTTGCGTCGGGAAGAGGCGCATTGCGACGTATGCGATTAAATTCCAGCGAAATATTTTTAAACGTCTCCGCGTTTCGATAGATCCTCGATAAGATAATATCGAATTGTTACCGCGATGCTCGTGGATCACCGTGGGAACGGTGCCAGACATTTGCATAAACTACGTTCGATCCGGCGAGCCGGCCACGATTTTTCGAGCTATAAGAAATCATTATCGGGTAACGAGATGTGGAAAAAGGGGGGAGAGGAGGGAGAGATACAAAAGAGGTATCCGATAAATGGCTGTGTATTCGAGAGATCGCCGTTCTCACGATTTACCGGAAAGCACACGCGAATCGTACTACGTGCATCTACTCACATTCTTACGGCCCGTTATCGATTTGTAATCATAATCGGTGTAGATAAGGGGCGGCCATTCGTTGAGATATATCGTTCATTTAAAACGCGGCCGTTTAGTAAATGAACGACGTTCCGATCGACAGCGTGAAAACACGGACTCGTCCTGACTCGATAGATATTTAGATATTTCCACGGCAATCTCTCGTATTGTATCGACATTGCTCCGACGTTCGCGCGCTTTTCAACCAACCGTCGCGCGAGATCTTTTTTCCTCGGCTATCGGGTACATTGTCCACGTATCGTGGATACGTGATTGTTGCGAATTATTATGGACAGGATTTTTTTTCTATTCTCGTTTTTTTAATAATCTCGTGGTTATTGCATTATGGAGATAGGGATTTTTCCATCCTTTTGTGATTTTTTTTTTATCAAAATTTATTACAAACGTATTACAGTAATATGTAATAATGCTTTAAAGTTTCAAAATAAAGTAAAAATAATGTAAATAATAATGTAATAATATGTTGCGTGTAATTTTTCTGCACTTTTAACTCGTGTGTGGAAAAAAAATACTACAGTTTCTTATTTTATTGTTTTCGTTGATGTCTGTTTTCATTTTTTTTTTTTTTTTTTTTTTTTTTTT